ACAGCTTGGGACAGGCGCCAACACTTAACCGCGTATCCTGTCAACCAAGGGTTGTTTTTAATTTGCCCCCCCCCCTTTTTTTTTTTTTTTTTTTTCTTTCTGCAAGCTGGTAAACAAACCCCCACGCATACCTTTGGAGGCTTTAACCAACCCCCCTACACAGCTTCTCCCTCAAAGCAAGCCATCCTGGTCATCCGCACTGATCACCATGTAAGGCTTTGCTTTCCATGCGCCACATGGTTTCCATCACTCAGCTCTGCTAGCACTGGTTTGGATAAGGTTGAGATAAGACACCTAGCCTTGAATGTTGTTCCAGTGAGTGAGACGATGCCAACGTGCTAAGAACCGGCCTTCCCCTGTGCCCATGTCCCATGGGTGCTTCAGATGAGGTGGGCAGGTTCCCCTCCTGCCTAGCAGGGACACGCAGCAGGAGCTGATGTCCGAAAGGCAGCGGGGGGACTGCAAGACCGGCATCCCCAGCTGTGTCCTTGGGGAGCCTCCAGCCACTCACCGGAGCCCCTCCTTGGCTCCGTGCCCCAGCCGGCAGCCGTGGTGCTGTGGCTGTCCCCAGGGGCAAAGGGCTGGATGGCTCCAGGAGCTGCCCGAAAACACAGTGATGGGCTCCAGCGCCTGCTCAGGTGGGGTGGGGAAGGCAGCAGCTGGGAAAAAAAAAGTTGGGCTGATAGTGTTTATCATGAAAATGGCTAGCACCAGATTTAAGTCTCCGGGGACAGGAAGAAGGGATTATCCTTATAAACATCCCTTACACAATCAGTGGCTGCGCTGGTGTCATGGCCAGTTTTCTGGACTAAACTAGCTGTTCTTCTGAATTCCCCCAGATGTCACATTGTCACAGCCCAGATGTTTTCATTTCTGGCATTGCTAGTTTTCAAGCATCCTTTTTAACCCGGGAGCCGCACTGGGGTGAGGGGATTTGCAACATGTGCAGCCTCTAGCCAGCCCTCCCTGAACAAGGGATGCTTTTTTTTGGGCAACATAGTTTTGGGGGTGGAGGCTCAGTATCCACTTTCTAGCAGCAGGCAGGTCCCTGAAAATATTTAACAGCAGAGGAAAGGGCTGTGCTGGCGAGTCCCTCCTTGTAGGCCATACGGGTGCCCAGGACCCATCACTGTCCTCTTCCCTTTCCTCTCACCTCCCAGGTCAGTGTGCCTGACTGAGCCAGAGGAAACAGGAGGAGAAAGCTGGCTGCCAGCCACAGTCAACACTGAGCAGGGCTACGTGGCAGCCAGGATGAAGGAAGGCTTCTGGACAGCAGGATACCACCAGTCCCACCACACCTCCTGCCCTGCCCCAACTGGGCTGTCCCCTCCCTGGGGACCGTGTGGGTCTGAGCAAGCCATGCCTTACAAGATGCTCCACCACTGCTCCTGCAATGCTGCTCATCGGCCCCATGGGACCAGAGCAGAGATGGGGGCTGCTATCTAGAAATCACATTAAAGACTGCAGTGAGGAATCATCTCTTCACCTTCCCTTCCCAGCCAGAGGCCCCCGTGGTCTTCAGACGTTTGAGCAGATGTATTCAGGAACATTGCAAATCTATGTGTCTTCGGAGCAATCTTCTCCTGGCACCAGTCACTTCTCCCCTCCTATCTCCACTGCCCGTCTCTCAGAAGCGGAAAACTTCAGATAAAAACTTTAAAATAACAAGCTCTTTGGAAAAAAAAACAAAAACAAAACCCAAGCCCGCCTGCACTGTACTTGCAGAGAAGTGTCCATGGAGATGAAACAGCTGTTTGGGAACACTTTCACTTCCTGCCTGGACTCGGGGATGCTCTGTGCAAGCAGCGACACTTGCTGTGTCAAGAAATAAGGCAGCAGTGGCTCTCTGCACGGCTGAAGCCATCGGGAACAAGCCACCCCCTTGGGCCAGACTGCTCCTCAGCAGCTCCAAAACTTCAACAACTGGTCTGGGATGGGCAACATGACTTCAGATGCAGCAAGCCCAGACTGTGGAAGGACAGGAGAAGCGGACAAGGCTGCTAGGGCACAATGCTTTCTGGAAAAGCAGATCTGAACCCTGTTTTCATCCCCATCATCTACTTGCTATGGAGTCCTCACCCCATCTGCTCCTTCACCTCTCCTGGGATGGGAGGGATCCAGCCAAAGGGTGGTAACATAGAACTGACGGAGGCAATGATAGCTTAAGGCGAGCCTGTGGTGAGGCCCTGGAGGAACACACGCAACTTCTGGAGGTGATCAAAACCATTCACTTCAGAAATAAATCAGGATCCCATTTTAGCCAGGCAAGGACCATATGCTCGTTTAAACACCCCCTTCTCAAAACAGCAAGGACTTCCAGAAACATGTTTCAAGGTCAAGTGTTTTGCTAGAAGAAATGAACAGCATGCCTATATCTAAACCCTCAACAATCCTTGAGTTGTGCACGCACATAGGGTAAAAGGGGACCAGGAAATTACTTTTTTTTTTTTATTTGATCCAATTTGGGAACAGCAGCATTACTTAGAAGGGGCTGGAAATTAAGACTGTGCATTACAGGATTCCCAGCTCAGAGGTTTGCACCTTCAGGATACTTGCTTGGTCCCAAACCAGGAAGAGGCGATGTGAACATCTAAGCCTCGTAAGCAGCATTTATATGAGATAAAGGAGTCCATGCACACTATGACTCACTCACAGCGGTTGAATTGTTACTGAAATAGGGGACACAGGATGTCACAGACACTGAACAGCTTCTACATCCCCTTGGCCAGACACCCTGGGGCCGCTGGAGGACAAATACCTCCCCATGATCCTAGAAGCAGCACAGCTTTCCTCAGGCAAGTGGACCAAAACCAAAAGAAGTGTAAATGTTTGAACCAGACCCTGGCAAGCACTAGTGTACACTGCTGCCTGCAGAGAAAGCATGGAAACCCTGGAAGCTTTGCCTGAAGGTGGGAAAAGCAGGGGACCCCAGCTCTGCACACACCCCACAGCGGGGGGGGGGGGGGGGGGGGGGGGGGAGGAAGGAAGATGGAAGGAAGCAGGGTTGCTTGGTACAATTTGGGGCTTTCCTTTCTGTTTTTCTTCTCACCCTTGTAAAAGCTGGGCCTTTGCAGCTATTGTTACTGTTTTACACAGCACTGGCCTCTCATAGGAGTACAGATCCACAACGAAAAAAAGAAAAACAACAAAAAGCCACAGGAAGGAAAAGAATTACCAGGGAAAGGAAAAGCAGCAGCAGGAACAAGTACTCATGCCTGAAATAAATGCACTGCCTGCTGCTAGGTGTGCAGGTAGGAAAGCTTACACCACCTTCTCCTGTGGAGAAGTTGAGACTTTGGCGTGAAGTCCCAGCTTTTTGGCTTTATTGCTACAGGCGAGCACTGGCAGCATGGTCGTGCACCAGTGGAACAGGAAGGCAGAAAGACAATCATCAAACGGACCCTCGAGGGGCTGAGATAACAGGAACCAGCCCCATGCACAGGGATATCAGAAGGAGAGTTTCTTTGAAATCTGAGTTTTCTCAGAAATCTAGGCTAAGGGGAGAAGCGGGGGCAGAGCTGCCTACAGACACCTGGAAAGAGCTGGTCATCATGGGCAGACACTCAAGGCAGCAGCCTCAGCTAGGATTAATGGCTTATGCTTACGGATTTTGAGGAAGACAGGCATTGAGACCAAGGGTCTGGCATCCCAGGTTTGTCTTGCGCCCCTCTCTCAGCTGTTCCTGAAGACCCGCTTTGCTCTGCCAAGGCAAATGTACAAACGATCCAACAGGAAACCTTCCCAGTGCTGCTGCTTCCGCTGCGTCAGCTCCCGCTAGAGTTTAAAGGGTTGGGTGGGACATTGCTCGACCAAGGACAGCACACAAGGGCTGGGCCAGAGCTGCTCTCCACCTCTCCCAAGCTCAGATCTGGGCCACTTAAGTTCACAATGAAGAAAAAACAAACAACAAAAATCAAAACAACCTTGAGTCTCCTGCTGCTGCTCCCCAGCAAACATTCCATGTAGAAAAACCAGATCCCATCCACTTCCCAGGCAGGCGATGAGGTATAAGGCAGCAGCTGTAAGGATCTCACTTTACAGCCCCTAAGAGCCTAGAGGGAAGGAGCAGAACACTGTCCTACATGAACAACTGACTCATTTCTCTTGCTGCCTATGTCCCTGTCACAGTGAAGCACAAGTCTGACTGACACAGGCACCTCTGAGAAATTGTTTAGCTACTACTCCTGAAGAACATGTAGAGACGAAAGTCTCCGATGGGAATGCTTAAAGCAGCAGGGTCTTCACGACAGAGACCAGAGCAGGACAGGTACCTCCCTGCCAGGTTACCAGGTCCTCGGTTCAAATAAAGCAGCTACAGAGCTTTTGCTGGTATTAGCAGCTGTAGTTTCACCCTTTACAGCAGCTCACAGCTTAGATCACTGCAGGGAGCATTCCTTGTTAGTCCAACGACTTGCAGCTGTCCCAGGGTAAGGGCTGCTGAAATACATAATCAGGTAGGTTTTGCCATTCCAACTCAAACATCTTTATTTCTGTGCTGTTAGCTTCACCCATCCTCACAGAGGACAGAGTGCAGGAGGTAAGTGAACTTTTCCAGACAAGCTGTTGGTTACATCTGGGGGCAATGACAAAGAATCAAGGCCACGAGTAGCCATTCCCATTATTTTCCAAAATCCCACCATGGAAGTCTGAGGAGTCTTTGCTAAGCTGTTGTGGCTTCAAATTTAAAATCAAGCATTAACTTTTGGGACAAGAGGACTACTTAGTAGTTAAGAGTCCACAGAAGCCTTAAGAGACTCTTTTCTCCTGCTTTGCCAACCATATGTGGGGCCTAACATAGCCTGTAAAGGCTCTCCTGCCAGTCCACTCCCAACAGCACCTGTACTCCTGCCCCAGAAACACAGACTCTGAAGCAATACCGCACTCTGGACTCAGAGGGGAAGAGGAGGAAGGGCTGGGATTAAAAAAAACAAAACAACAGAAACTCAGACGAGACTGACACAAAGGACATCATAAAAAGCAGGAGAAGCTATGAAAATATGTTGAGATGGTCAAGAAAAGTCACATCAAAATATATTTCAAAACCAGAAATTCCAATCTGCGTGGAATTTAAAACTCCTTTCCTCACCTTTTCTTCCTGCTCAAGGAGTCTCTTTGTTGTTCCAGGACGTGGAACATGATAGGCAGCACCAGTTATGTCCTGAAAAAGGGCAGTATTCCCCCCAACTTGTCTGAGCACTTCCATCATTTACAAAGAAAAAAAAAAATTCATATATATACCTCAACAACTGCCCCACCCTCCCTCTTTTCCATTCTATAGTGGGCAGGAGAAAAGACTGCAAACAAATCTGACTCTTCATTTTCAGTTAAGTCCAAATTTTTCCACACATCAATATCCCTGCAATCCATTGTACACTTTCTGCACCGATCCTTGTTTCAACAACTGTTTGAGACCTGCAAGAGAAAGGAAAGCGTTACTGCACAGCACAAACAGGAGGAGGACTCTGCATTTGCTGTTCCTGCTGCATTTGGCTTGTAGGCCCTGTGGCATCAGCCTTTCAAGGCTGAGCCGATGTATCTGAATAATGAAAACACTGGTACTCCGAGAGCATCATTTTTAAAAAAAAAAAAAAGGAAAAATCCCCCCAAACCCAGTGATGCGACAGCTTTACTCCTGCTCCTTCAGCATCCCTAAAAGGAGAAATGGGACTGAGGTTAGTGTTGCTGTAACAGTGCTTTCATGCACTCTTGGGACCACACAAGGCCAGTGGTTCCGGGGAGAAAGCCTCTTCTGCTATAGACTTAAAGTTCAGCCCACCACCTCAAGATCCTCACAGCTCTGTAAGGGATAAAGCTGACTCCCAGAGCTGCTTTACTGTTTAAGTTGACAACAATTTTGTCATCTTAAGTACAAATGCAACAACAAACAACTTGCTGAGCATTTACAGAGTTTAATTCATCTAAGCTCATCTTCCCAGGCTGCGTCTACAGCCCAAGAGACATCTGCTAGCAGCAGGCTTGGGAGGGCTATGTTTGAGTCCTTCTGGACTTGCCAGCTACAGAAACCCACATGAGCAATTAGAAAGCAGAGGTTTTCACACTGGTATGTGGTGCCTGGGGACACTACTGTCCACTAGAAGTAGTCCCCGCAGGCAAGTAAGAGAAGCAAATTTGTTATCTGTGGGCTTAAGTATCCTACTGAAGGCCTGAAAATCTTAAGTTTTTTTGAAACCCACTGTTTCACAAAGGAGTCTAGATGACTTTTCAAACACCATCTTCCCCAGCCCTGAAAGCCCACTCATAAAACATTTCAAAGAACTGACTGCTCTGAGGTCCTGTCAGTATCAAATTCTTATCAGAGCAAGATAAGAGTGACTCAGCCCTTAAAAGCATAACTACTCATCTACTGGGGTCAGCAGGGAAAGACCAGCAGGGTTTCACTGTTACTCAAAGGGCAAGTCCACACAAAACGGAGGAAGTGGACTGGCAAGAACAGATGTGTGACACTTTTTCCAGAGATAATCAGAGGGGACTCCCCTCTTTAAAGTCAGCCTGGTCACACACTGGCAGGACTCCCACTGCCCTGGCCATGGGGCCCTGCAGGGCACGGCATCATCTCTGCTCTGGCCAGCACCAGAAACCATTGAGCCTGAAGAGGGGCTGTTGGGACCCAAAACAGAGAGGAAAACTCCCCACACCATGGGTAACTTTCAAATAATAAAAAAAAAAATAAAACTGCTATAATTCTGCTGTTTGATATCTCCAAAACAGCATTGGTCTTGCAACAAAGCACACAAGCAGCTGGCTTGCACCTCAATATGACAGAAGACAGGATTGCAGATCAGCTTGCTCTGCTGCTCCACTGAAGCCAGAGTCATGGTGAAGGGGGGCTGGATGCTTTACGTGTTTGTACAACAGGCCAGATTAGGCTGTCTAGAAAATACCACAGTAGTTGTTAACTTTCAGTGAGGTAAATAGGCAGGGAGAGGGAGGATCAGTAGTTAAATCAACCAATTTACTTGCATAGAAAAAAACCCCAGCCTTTCAGGCATGCAAGTCCTTCTTGAGGAAATTCAGCTGAAAGAGTATGTCTCCCTGCAAGCCTTGTCTTGCTTATCTACCCTTTAAATCATTCTGCCTACAAATACTACTGTCCTTTAAGACTGGTGATTTGATGCATAAGGGTTACAGCAGCCTTGTTAAAATACTGGAAAACTGTCCTCGAAGTAGTAACTGGAACAGAGATGGCTCTCTGCCAGGCAAGAACTATTCACGCCTCTTGTTTGCTGCCCAGAGAATCCTGAACTCTTTTCTACACTCAGAAGTGTCCTCAACAGCAGGGTAAAGTGAGCCCCTATACAGGAGCTGCTAATCATTAAGGATAGGTCATTCTCCAGGGGGATGCAAGGCAAGTTCACTTCCCCTCCACAGCCAAAGCAGGCTGAAAGCCACTTCCTGGCTGACAGGTAAGAGGATATGCCTCCTGGATGTGTAGTTCTTTGAAAGGAAGGACACAGCTGGAGAAAGGTGTTCTCCAGTAACCCTGAAAAAAGTGGGATTAGCACCATTCCCATACCTCATTTCCTACTAGCTAGCTCTAGGCAGCTGCCTGCTGGCCTAAAGGACACCCTCATTAGCATGCAGGATGTTTCAATACATCTCTGATGCTCAATCAGGAATTCCAGCCAGAAACCCTGACATTTGGTGCTACTGCACCTCAGGCATTTTTTTTTTTATAGAGCCAACTTCGAGATTTTTCTGACACCACCAACAGGTGACAGGTTACAACACAAGCTGGGCAGTTTGCTGCCTACTGTTGCTCTCTGAGCACTCCAGAGTTAAAGCATGGGATCCAAAGCTCCAAAACAGACAATAAAGAAGTGTCAGTAGAGATGAATGAGAGACGTTTCAAAGAGAAAGTCACCTCTTATCAACAGGCAATAAATACCCTGATGTCACACTGGCAGGAAAGAAAGCATATTATTTCTCTGACTCTAAAGCTTAGACTGACCAGAGTAGTGCTCTCGGGGTTAGAGTATCTTCTGACTGCCCCAGGAGCTGTACATATGGTTATGAGATAAGAAATTAGGACCACTGCCAACAATAAGAAAAAAGGGATGTTTTGAATTCTGAAGCCTACAGTCTTCCTTTGAATGTGTACACTGAACTGCTGCCACACAACATGAATAGACCTATTCCCTCATAAAACTTCTTAAATCACTGGGTGTTTGGAGATATTCTAGCACACAGAAACACATCTGACTGCCTACCCAGTCACTTTCCCCTGGGAAGCATAGAATTGCTTTAGGAGGGAGTGAAACACCCAAAGGCCCCATGCCCAAACACACTCATGCCAGTATCATCACCTCTCTGTTCCCCAAATATTCGTAAAGGTGCATGAGCAATTCTGACAAATGTGGAGGCTACTGTTGCTGCTCTTTGCCCAGTTTCTTCACAAACTGCCAAGAGCAACAGCTGGAAAAACCTCACACCTGTTCAAGAGGTGCTGTCGCCTTACAAAGCTTCAAGAAAGGCAGCAGAGCCTGGAACGAGACTTCACACTGACACAGTCACTGTGCTCTGCAGTCCTCACTAGACACAACACACTTGCAACAAGCAGAAAAGCAAAACACAAAACAGGTTCATTCAAAGCACAGCCCGAGAGGCACAGACCTCACAGCCCAAACAGCTGCAGAAAGAGCCACAGAAAATCAGTCAACTCTGGGGCTGCAGCTACCGACTGGGCTCCAAGTGGTAGGTAGTAGCTAGCACAGTGTTGTCAACACAGCAGTAAGTGCCCTCCAAGTGGTAGGTAGTAGCTAGCACAGTGTTGTCAACACAGCAGTAAGTGCCATAGGGCTGAGAAAAGCCCACTCAGGGCTTGACTTCCCTTTACAAGCTTGAAGAGTCCAGGAAAGCTGCACATTAGCCTCATTCTACCATGACAGCTGCCAGAATCCACTAAAAGGGCACCTTCAGAAGAAGAAAGTATGATAGCTCTGATCAGCAGAGCAGGAAGAAGTTCTGGGGATGTGAATTTTCTGAAGAGCTGCACTAGTACATGCCAGGAACTTCTTTGCCCCATAACAGAGGATGGGACCCTTGATGCCTACTCTTGATGCCTTGGGCAGAGCAGCAGAACTTACCACAGAGGGTGCTGAAGTAAAAAGGGATTTCCAGCTAGGAGTATAGCATTTACCCACTGGTCAATTTTAGGATTTCCACATGGTTCATCAAGTTTCCATTTGAGCACTGAAGCTGAGAAGCAGATCTCTCCTGTGAAATATCTGCATTGTACCCTTCTTCCCTATACAGCCACAAAGAACTTAGGGTAGAAGGAGATGTAGGTAGGAACAATCCTTCTGATGCTGTATGACACTCTTCACCCTTGACAGTAGAGGGATTTTCACAAGTCTTGCCTCCAAGAAAGCAGAAGCAGGGACTTGTGATCTCATTCCAGTAGAGGCAAAGCAGACAAAGGCTAAGCCCAGCAAGTCTTTCAGTTCAGACAGATGGCCAGCTACAAAACAAAGCACCTGCAAACTTGCCAAGTGCTACATCCCAGCAGTGGCACATCCCAACCTAATCTGGTTCCCTACAACTGCAGCAGCCAAGCTCACTTGCTTCAAAGGGAAATGGAAGCTAATCACAGGGCATTGTCCAACTGTGTTATGTTGTACAAGGGGCACAGGGAAAGGAAAGCCCCTCCTGATCGCTACAGGCCACTGGTTCAGTTGTTCCAACTTCGTATCAGCTTTGGTGAGAGGTCTGTGCAGCCCGCTGCCATGACAGAGCTTTAAAACACGCACCTTCCCGCTGTTTGTTTGTCAGTTGCTCTTTGGGGAACTCCACATCAAATGTTATTATTAGTGAGCCTTTGATATTATTGTTATCAAAATTTGGAAGACCTTCTCCTTTCTTCCACAGTTTGGCCCCAGGTTTCGTAATTTTATCCCGAGCAATGTGAACCTAGAGACAAAAGAAATTTCAGAATGTTACTAGTGTTCTGTTTGCGTACCCCAAGACTCCAATGCTCTTGCCCAACCCACTGGAAAGCTTCAACTGATTCTTTGCCAAAGTCAGTGATATTCAGGGGGTCCAGGCACTACTACTGCCAGGACACATGCCAGAACGAACACCACCCAAGACAGCACATGCAGTAACTGCTGTGACAGCCTGGAACCGAGACCCACACTGTGCACCCCTTGTACAGAGCCTGTTTTGGCTCCATGGGAATTGGCCAGGAAGGCTCTAGCAGAGGGGATACTGTATACAACCAGAAGCTGCACAGACCCCAAGCAAGCTAATCCTCAGCAGAGGCCTGCAGTTAAATTTTGTTTACACACAGCAAGAAAGCAAACCCTTGCCTCACCTTGTGCCCATCCAAGTGGGCAATATCCATTTCAAAGCCTGTAAGTGCCTCGACCAGCGAGATTGTCACATTTGTATACAAGTCATCTCCTCTTCTTTCAAAGACTGGATGCCTGTGGAAACAAAAGACATTGGAACTTTTCTCCTTCCCCAGTGGGGAAATAGGTCCTCTAGCTTCCTCCCCTCTATTTGTGAGCTTAGAGAATTTGCAAGTCAGAGAGGAAGTGAAGAATGAATGCAATTTAGCTTCATTTTCCTGTGCAAGGTATGTACTACTAAATAACCTTTCTATTTCTAGAGCAATAAGTGGTGAGGCGTGTCAAGAAGTTGTGACTCATACAACAGTTTTCTCAGTAGTGCATTTCCTTAAAATAGGGAGATAGTATGTTTATGGAAAAAGGAGATATTTCATGTGATTCACACAGGAGCTACTAATTCATGCCAGAATTCAAGCCAAAGGAAATAAAAGTGGAATTATCAGAGCATCTTAACAGTGGCAAATCCAGCTACTCTAGCATCATCAGGGTTGAACATCCTGCACAGCCCTGAGTATCAGACCCCTGGCTGCACCAACTCTGCCAAAGGGCAAGCTACATGCTAGCCAAGCAGGCAACACTGACCAGAAAATTACTTGCAAGCTTCCTTTATAGTAACCTACCTAGGCCAGTTACTTACTTAAGAACTTTTATTCGGAAGCGCAAATCACCTGGCTCTCCATCCACATGGGGTTCACCTGTGACAAAGAAAGAAAAACTCTGTTTAAAGGAGCTAGTTAATTACAACTGAAGAAACAAGCAACACATTAAACACAATAGAGATCTGCAGCTCGCATGTTAAAGGAAAAAAAACCCTAGTTGATCTTCACATGACTAAAAGCCTGCTTAAACATATTTGTTATTAAAGAGCCTAGGACTTTCCGAGTATTGCCTCAATGATCTCATACCTCTCTGCTGTTCTGAAAGACTTGCCTGCATGTTAATGATGTCCTTTACTTGTTGAAGGACTTCATCTCCTTGGGCAGAGGGGATTCCCTCACATACTCAAGCCTGGAACAGATGCTCCTACTCAAAAGTTATCCAAAACATCAGATTTAGAGCTTTTTTGTGTGTGTGTGTGTGCCCTCAGTACCAGCAAAGGGAGTGGAACTCAGAGTGTTATCCAGACTTAGCAAAGAGTATGCTCCTGGATTTCAGCAGCATGCAGAGGACACAGCACTTAAAACCACATGTGCTGATCAGTTAACCAAAGCAGGGCTTGGACACTTTCACTGCCATGAAGACCAGCCTTGCATCATGGAAAAGGAGCAAGTCAAAGCTGAGCAGCAGGGCAGCACCCATATACATACCTTCACCAATGAAGGGATACTCCATACCATCCCTCACACCTGGCTCTATCTCCACTTCTAGTGTTCGCTCCTCATTCACAAGCCTGCAAAGGGGAAGAGCAAGCAAACACTAAGTTTTCAACAGTAGGTGGTAGCACCTACTTATATTACTAGGGTAATGAGAACACCCACACAAGTTAACACATCCTCCCTCCTTGCTCCATTTAAAACTGGAGGGTGAGTGCTGCCTGTCTTGTGTGCAGCACTTCTCTCATCTAGTAGAGAAGGCGAAGTTAAGCTCCTAAATGCACAGTCAGCATCTGGATGTGTGACTACAACACATATTCCACGTGCAACTGTTCCCAGCTGGAAACTGTGGGCTTCCTTGACTTTGTTTATTCAGATTTAGTTGTGGAACTTCCACTGTAGTATGACTGATTGTTCAAGGAATAAGAGAATGAAAGAGCAAACCGGGGAGCTCTACATCTAATAGAGATGGACATCTCTACTGTAAGAATGAAGACTGGCTCCTTGGAAATGAGAAACCTGCGTTATGTTTTTCCAAATTCCCCAGGTCTTACTGGTAGTACAGGCACTTTCCTCCACCTAGTGGCAGGTTTTGAATAAACATCCATATAGCAGTAAAGAGCATAAAACTCACTTGACATTTGGACATTCATCACAAACAACTTCTTGAGTCATCTGGAAGCGTCCAGGACCCAACTGGGTGGTCCTCATCTCCTGCCGGCAATTGCATTTCCGTTTGCCAGGCGCCTGTCTTGCCACTGGCTTGTTCCTGACAACCTGCATGGAAGAGAAAGAGGTTGACACCAGCACACAGGCCAGCACTCCTGGGTCTCCACAAGGGTCTGGATTTCTCAAACAGCCTGAATATAATTTGGTTTTGTGTGCTGCCTCCACAGTAGCTCCAAATGGCCTAAGCAAAACATTCTGACAACGGTTTTCACCTTGTGTCTCTTGCTGATCACACATTAAATACCAGAAAAACTCCCTCTGACACCACTATCACCATTTCCTTTCTTTTTCCTGCACGCCTGTCTAAATAGGAAAGGTAACACTAGGATGAAACACCTCACACTTTGGTTATGATAGCTTGTTTGTCCTACACAATGGGCAAAGTTATTCAGAGTTCCCCATTTACCCAGACACTCACAACACAGACTCAATCAATGCAAATTCTAACATGCAGAATAGCAGGGACTGTCAGGACCAGAAATTTGCAGTGACATATTTGGTCATATAAACAGGCTATCAAAAATCCTCAGTGTGGTTTTGCAAGAATTGGAAAATGAGTTTGAGGCTTATGAACGGGCCATCAAATATCACTAAATTCTAGAGAGAAACCACTTACACCCTTTCCAGTGGGGGTACTGCAATTAAAAAAAAGCTACAGCTAGTCACTGACAGCCAATAAATAAGCTATTATCACAAGAAGCACCCCTTTATAGAGAAATTGCCAGATGGCAAAGATGAATAAATGTATTGTTTCTTCAGTTAACTACTAGCAAATAGCATCACAACATCCTCCACTGTCACTGCCAGATACTGAGAAAACAAGCACCTATTTTAGTTCTATTCTTTGGGAGAAGATACCAGGCTGAGCAGAGGCCAGGCATCTCAAACCTGGTAACACACTGCAGAGACGAACATGCAAGCAGTCAAACTTACTTCTACGAAGTTTCCTGAATACACCTCCTCCAGTGTAACCTCCAGGTCCACGATGATGTCACTTCCTCGGGGAATGTTCCTGTCTTGCTGGCGAGGGTTACCTCCAAACATGAATCCAAAGTCCCCAAAGAAGCTGAAGTAAGCACATCAATTAGTTCACGAAGGAATTCTGATCGAAGGAGGCTCTGATGATGAGAGCCACCCAAGGCAGCAGCAATGTCCTGCTTGGCAAATGCTTCTAGCCCCCTAAAGAACAGCCTCCTTACAGTACAAAAGCACCATAGTAAATCCAGATACCTCTTTTTGCTCCTGCAGGACACAAGCTAATGCTGTCAAATAAAGTGGTCACTTCGGAAGCATTTTTTGTACCAAAGAAAAAAAGTTTTGGAGCAGGAGTTGAATGCCAACACCTCAAAATCTGACCACTGCCTAATGGAAGTCCTCTCCATACTGCACTGCTGCTCAGCCACCATCACCACAAGGTGCAAACTCTGAGTAGCACTCCATCTCCGGCACTGCATGTCAATGCTAGCAGGTTGGTTTTCAGTAGTTTGAGGACAACGGGGATGAGAAAAAACTTCCTAGCAAGCCTGTGTGTTTTTCCTCAAAACAGACCAGCAGATGGTATGAGTTCTCACCCAGAGGATTACACAAGGTGAGCAACTTCAAGAATTGTTTTAGTAAATTTGTGCCTAGCAGAACCACAGGGGCCTTAAACAGAAAACCAGGTTCGCACCTTCAGATTTTAATGACCCAAATTCTACAGTTGCTCTGAAATGTAGCGTAAGTCCATACAGCATTACTTTGCAAAAGAAAGAGTGATCCCCAAAGTGCACACAGGATCTGAGACAACAGGTTAAACATCAGTCATGTACCAGATAACACAAGAAAGTTCCTACATGTTTAATGTGGCTGCAGCACCCTACAAACCACCCACGTTGGCAACACAGCTTGCCAAGTGAGCAAGAGCTGCCCATGTGGGAAGACACCACTGGTTCCTACTCACTGCTCTTGAAGCAAGGACTGATGCAAGACAGACAACTGAAAACTGCACATGGGATATCCACTGTAAACATATTTCTTCAAATTCTCAACTGTCACTTCAGATCAGTGCCTACTGACTGGGTAAAAGACCTTAACATAGAATTTGCCCACATCAGACATGTGCATAAGCATCACAAAATTAGAGCACCAACTGCAGAATAGCCTAAAGTGGCAAAATCTCCTTACTGTGAGAAGATGTCTCCATGGGAGCTCTGGTGCCCATCCTTCAATCCCTCCTCACCATACGTGTCATACTGCTTCCTCTTCTCCTCATCTGACAGCACCTGGCAAAGGGATGCAAGCCAATAAGACAGTCACCCACAGCTGAGCCGAGTTATTTAAACAAGGCTCTGAGAAGAAGCTCACAAGTACTCTTCACTGGCGACACACAGCAATACTTTACATTACAGAAGCACTGGCTAGAATTTGCTTTCTGCAATGGATTAGAAAAGTTAAACTAATTGTACTTTTTATGGGTTTAACTGATAAATGTTTATTAAGCCAGCAGAAGCAACACAGAAAATATAAACAATACTGAGTTTATCTTAAGGATTAAAAAAGAATCAGAAGGAATAATTCAAATCAGTTCCTACAAAGCAGGACATGCTGAAAACCCACATAATACCACCCCCATTTCTCAGTTTGTTCTTCAAGCACGCAGAATGTATATTTCTCCACCTACTATTTTGTAACATTTAGCAACAATGGCAAGTTTGCCTACCAAGCTGAACCTGACAAGTATGGTAACTCTGCACCAGTTTGAATGCTGGCCCTCATTCCTAAGGGCAGCAAAAGTTAAAGTAACTTCAGTACTGAGGCAGAATAACACATCCCAACACACATGACTTTCAAGACTGTAAAGCTTCAATTTTAATTCCTAAGTATTGATCTTTGCTCTTTCCTCCCCCCGAGATCCAGAAGATTCCAGTCATATTTAGTCTTCCTTCGCCTTCCTCCCCTGTTGATCATATTTTGGAAGGTTAAAATTGCCAGGTTAGCTTTCAGAAGGCTAGAGAGGAGTGGAAACAGGTGAAGAAGCAACTAAACAGGTGAAGAAGCTGGCTAAAAGATGAAAACCAGCCTAAAACTGTGACCAGTGATAAATGCTAGCAACAGGGAAAAAAAAAAACAACAGTGACTTTACTAGCTTCGTCTAGTAGGCAAGAGTTCAATTCTCCTTTTGTCACTTCAGATTTTGCATTAAAACACACATTTCCTAAAACTGGGATAAGCTTTCCATTTTGTGATCTGTTGGTGTCGGAACAAAATTCTTCCGGTAGAGTACTGTACAGTACTGACAATACCATGAGCAATAAGAAAGGAATTAACAACACAAAATATTTGCCTTTCCATTCAGTTTCCTTCTTTCTGCAGGCTGTTGGAGAACACAACTCCAAGAACACAATTTCAAGTACTGTGAAGAGAGTTCGTTTGTTATGTTAGGTTGCCTTGAAAGCAAGGGAACTACCATGAATAAGCTTAGAGAAAAAAGCCTATGGAAACTCCACCCCCAAACCATCCTGAGACTAATGCTTATACATAGAGGAGTCTCAGTTCCCTTACATGGGATCAGTCTCCTTTCTACTCGAAACAACTGTGTTCAGACCACACACCTAGGGGTGTTTTCCAGGGTGGAAATCACTTAGGATGTGAAAATGAAGGAGACTGAGTAGTTTCATTAACCTACTTTCCCCACAATTTTTCTGAAGACTTTGCTACAGTTAGTCAGCTACCCAAACCCTGAGCAGTGGTACTACTAACAGAGGCTGTTGCTTTATGGCAAAAAACATCCTGGTTTAGGTTATAAGGGAAATAATTCTAGCTCCCTTTTGCCCAAAACAATCAAATCAACACACTGCATCTCATAGCTAGTTTAGCAGAAGGATTTGCAAGCTGTACTGGCTAACCAAAGAGACAAAGACCTTGCAGGACATCAAAACGTTACTTCTTCCAAACCTTTTTTCAAAACCATGTATGTCAACACTGGATTTCAATATTCCGATATATCTCTCTTCAGCAAGAAGCACACGAGGGAAGACTTTGAAGGGAGATTTCCTAGTTTAATTTTCACCCAGTGAGAGCATGTTGCATTCGTACTGTCTGTGTTAGCACTAGAACTCCACATTTTATGTTGAACAAGGACACTGCTGTGCTTCAACAATACCCTGGTTAGGGGGAGGCAGACTCAGTCACTGCTCGTAAAAGTTAATATTCAACTATTCCTGCCACCGCATCCCCTGCTGATTTGATTTTACAACCATTTTCTCCCCAACACTTTTAATAGAAAAAGTACCCTCAACTGTTACTATTGTAAAGACTTAAATAAACTGGGACTTCGGGAAGAGGTAGAGAAATGCTTCCCATGCAAAAAATACTGTCAAACATGACAAGATCCCAACTCACAGAAATGACAAACTCACAGCTTCAAAGTAAACCACATGCATCAATCTTCAGATGCTGCAAATGACAGGTAACAAATACTTTTTTCTACAAAAAAAATTCTTTACATTCACTGGTTTCCCTGTGAGAGTTCAGCCAGTTTATTTAAAAATAGTTAAGTCTGAACTAAAAAGAGGTCTGAGCTCTGATACAAAAATAAAGTTGATGTGTTTTTTTTTTTTCCCCTCACCAAAGAGGAATGAGTTCAAGCTGTTTCTCTCACTTCCTCATTCATTTTATATTTGCATATCTGAAGAGCAGAGGAGCATCAGGGACGGAAGCAGGAGCCACACTACAGCTGCAGGCTGAGCAACACCACCAGACTGCAGCAGGAACACAAACCCTTTCCTTCTCAGGCTCAGCTCCTCAAAGAGGACTCAAACCTCCCACCCAAACAGCCCACCGGTGTGGGCAAGCTCCTGGTAGAACCGCTGCTATGAATTCTTGCTGGTCAACACCATCTTCCTCGGGGGCCCTCTGCTCCACAGGGGACGGCAGGAGCAGATAGAAACCAACAGTGACAGAAGGGAGACAAAAAGGACAGAGAATGTGGAAGAAACAGATCTCATCACCCTGCCTAAAATACATTAACGTGTATGTACATATCACCCTGCCTAAAATACATTAACGTGTATGTACATGGCAGAGAAAGTAGGCTTTGACTTAAAACATTTGGTTAAGTAAATAATCTATATGGGATTTATATAAATGCACTGTGTTATTAGTCTCAGGTATCATTTGTATGCTACTATAGTATCATGGGAACAACAGGAATCCTCATGTATATGTGACTTAACACTCATTTCTCTCACCTTAATGCCTTATATAAAAGGCAAGCCAACACTTTTCATGTTCTATTAGATCAGACTTACTCACAGCTAGGCCCTATACATAGGCACACTTGCTCCTGTGCCACTACTTACAGCTGATGTAACTCTATTTCTTCCTCAAAGAATTCTTAATAAATACCACATAACTTTAACTTGCTGTCTTCACTTTCTCCTGGCTAAGTGAACTAAGGTCTCTTATTGTCCTCTGATAAAGGAGCTCTCTAATCAGCCTGACAGCCTCTCTACCTTTGTTTTTCATTTGGTAGAATGTCTGAAATTCAATATAATCATGGGGAAGAGGGACTGCACCTTACAGAAGGGCCTTTGCACTTCCTAGAAGCCCTCCTTTCTTGTTCCCCTGAGTGTTACAGGAGGAAGCCTCACAAGACAGCTTGTTGGCCAAGCTCAGCTTCACGCTCTCAGCATGTCTTACCACGAACCCCATCCACGCTCCACAGTCCGAGAAGGCCTAGGAGAACTTAAGGTTCTCCGAGATCCGTACAACAAGCAGCAAGACTTCACCCCTCTCCTTTCCCAGCAGCCACACCGGGCCTCCCTACACCCTGCCCCACACCGCAGGTACTGCTGCCGCTCAGGCAGGGCAGGGGGGAGCCCACGGCCCCCGGCCTCACCTCGTAGGCAGCTCCCAGGTCCTGGAACTTCTCCTGCGCCCGGGGGTCGTCGGGGTTCCTGTCGGGATGGAGCTGCAGCGCTAGTTTACGGTAGGCCTTCTTAATGTCCTTGATGGAAGCGCCGCGGGACACCCCCAGGATCTTGGAGAAGTCCCTCCTACCGGGGGGGGGGGGGGGGAGAGGGGGGGAGGGGGCGGC